AGGCAGGATTTTACCTTGGAAAACACACTGCTATAGCGACACTCTCCTCTCCTCAGGGAAGATTTGCTCACCAAAGCTGCCTGGGAAGGGATGGATGCTGTGAAAGCTGCAATGGGTGAAGCTGAGGCAGTGGCCTGTGCTTGTCCTGATGTTCTTGTACAGCGAGTGGCTTGGCTGCAAGGCTGGAGACGCAGGACACTAGGGATAGGCTTTAATTATGGTTAAGGTAGCATTCCACTTTCATCCCAGGTGAGGAAATCTGCCTGGTTCATTTACAGATATAGCTGGTAGCTGTGCTCTGTGAGGGCATGCCATGAGCCCTTCCCATGCTAGCCAGTAGCACAGACCTCAAGTCAAGACCACAGTTGAGCTCAGCATCACTATTGCAGTCTCTTGTTGGCAGAACTTCCCTGTAAGTCTGCATGCTGTGGCTGTGGTCGCTGGGTTTGAAGTCTTACTCTGCTGTATTTAATGCACTTGGAGTGCTGGTGTAGCTCCCTTCTAAAGTTTTGTTTTCCTTTTGTATTACAGAAAGCCTTTAACAGTAGTGAGTCTTGGGGGCTGGGCAGAAACCTGCAGTTGTAGCCTCTAATTACTGCAAATCCCAGTGCTTTCCTTAATCTCTGAATCTCCTTGACACTTTGTGAACTCCAGACCACCTGAAGCTGTATTATAACTACCTGAGAGGGTGGACAACTTCAACAGGTCTCGAGAAGTGAGGAAAAAATGCTCATTACTATATATTAATAATCAATGTATATGGTAAACCAGTTCCCTTGTCATCAAGGAGAAACAAAACTTACTGTGACACCCAGAGAAACCTGCTTGTAGTGTTTCTAGAAGTTGTAATTGTTCTTGTAATGTGCCTGGGAAGGAGGTAGCTCCTCTAAGCTATTCGAGCTTCTCATCCCTTCACTTGCATGGGGGAGAAAGGAAAAAATAGGCAAGTCTGGAAATGGGGCAAGTGGAAACCAGGACAATAAATCCCACCTCCTGTGAGAATCAGCTTGCAGCTTTGTTCACCCTGAGCACACCATGACAACTCTTCTTAGCTCTTCTGTGGGGAGAGGGTTTATGATGATAGCTGTGCAAGAAACACTGGAGGCATCAATGCTGTGCTCTAGCATGGATCTGCAATGCAAGCGTTACCTTGAGGTGTGCCACGGTGTCCTGCCATACTCTGCAATGGCACATAGGTGCCTGATCATCTGGAATTTAGTCATATGCAGCAGCTCAAAGAGCTAAAATTCTGGTTATCCTGTACATTGTGTATTCTTGATCTGAATCAGGTAATCGGGTATGCTTTGCCGTATCTTATTTTAAAGTAGGGGATTTGATTGGCCCCAAGATCTAATCCTTGCCTCAATGTGCTTTAATGCATGAAGAGATTGTGATTTTTAGCCAAGAACCACCAAGAACCAATGCTATTAATGCATTGATTAGGTTACATTGCAGTCTGTGGGGTGACTGTTCTCCAGGACCTACAATTTGCTTGCTTCAGAATAGATTGCTCTGTAACACACACAGGAGTAGCACTGGATTACACTAATCCCCTTAATGAATGTGAAAAGCTAGGTGCTTACCATGCAAAAGTTGATGCTCTTATGTTCTGTGCACCTCTTGTATTTCTCTACTGAATTGCCAAACCCGTAACTTCATGTTTCGGGGAGCAGAAGTGTAATGGTAGAACAAGTGAGGTCTTTGCAGGGCAGAATTTAATACAGGTACTTATATTGGTATAAGTAGATGCAACTCCACTCTCCATCTAAGTAAACCTGATGCAGGAAGGTAAAACTTTGATCCCAGTCATGCACTCTCCTTGTGTTCCAAATGTGCTTGTGTCCCAGCTCTTCCCCATGCCAACAAACCAGTTCTTGTGCTTCATCTGTGCCAGCCCATATCTGCAAAACGGCATCCTTCAGACTTTGACCAGTGTGCTGCCTTATGATCTGGGAGATACCTTCTGCAAAACTCCAAAACTGTATTTGAAGATTTGAATAACTTCCTCTTCCCCAGTTTCACAGGAGGTGGGTGAGGAGAGAGGCTTGGAAATGTTTAACTAAACAGGTCTTGCTTCTGTTTAGCAATGAGGTCATTATTAGCTAAACAGGCAGCAGCTTAACCTCGCCTTCTGATGTCCCTTAAAACTGTTACCTGAATCAGAAAAGCTGACAGCTAGGTGAGGAACTTGTGTGAAGTTTTTTGCCATGCACAGATAATTGACTTTCCTCCTGCTTTGCTGGTGTCTGAAGGTGGAAGCTGACAGTTCAGGGCAGTTGTTGTGCTTGAGACACCTCTGCAGATCATAGAATGGTTGAGGCTGGAAGGGACTACTGGAGGTCATCTTGTCCAACCTCCTGCTCAAGCCAGTCACCTAGAGCACATTGCTCAGGATTGTGTCCAGACAGCTCTTGAATATCTCTTAAGGGAAGAGAATCCACAACCTCTCTGGCCAACCTGTTCCAATGCTGTCCCCTCATGGCTCATTGCTATTAAGATGTCCAACCACTGTCAGAGGCCTCTGTCTGGGTTGGTGGTTTCAAGGCCACAATAACATGTTTCAGTACCTGTCACAATGGGACCCATCTATCAGCTCAGGAAGCATTTGGTGGGGAATGTTCCTAGTTGGTTTTAATCTAGAAGCACAGCAGTAATACTAAACATGGATTCTGGGCTTCTATCTTGGCTTCAGGCTAATAGGGCATCATTGAATCTCCTCTTGGCAGGTAAAGGAGGCCTTGTTTTCTGCCAGGTACGGGCAATGCCTTTATGACAAGCCTTGTGTGATGGTGCCAGAGACACGTTTAGTCCAAAAGGAACTTCTGAAGTGACTGAATTCCTCTGGCCAGAAATTAGGTGCAGTTTCTCGATTCCTTTCCCCTGTTGTTGGCACAAGGCATTTGGTTAACCTCATGTGATGCCAGGTTAGCTCCCCTGTAATTGCCTTTAGAAATTAATCACTGGTCCTAAGAGCTGGCATTACAAAATATTGAAGATGGAGCACAGCCCCAGTGGCAGGCATCAATCTCCAAGGGGGAGAGAGTACTGCAAGAGCTGATGGAAATGACCACTCTCTCACTTCTGCCCTTCTTGCTTCAGTGTCAAAGCTACCAGTGCACTACTCACGTGTGTTTAAAGCAGAGATGAAATTGTGAGAGAAATAGCTGGTGGAAAAAATGTCAGGAAGGCTTAAAACTGTCTAATGACAGCCTGGTGAACTGATCAGCCTGAAACTCACATGGAAGATTTTTCTTTCTTTAAGGGTAAAATTTGTTCACAACTGATGGCTCAGTAGCTGAAATGGTTTTGCAGGCTGATGGTGACATTTCATTAACAGGAATCCCTACGCTACATCTTGTGTTGCGTGTAACCACAAGCTATATTTGACTGGTGAGACACAGAAGCGAAGGGGAATAAGCTTTTTTTGCTTATTTTGGCAGGCTTTTTATGTTGTCACAGCCTGTTTTTTCACGCTTTATTTCCTGCTTATGAAAGTAATTATCACTTTCTGACTTGACCCATGTTTGCTTGCTCCTAACACCTGACTCCAGCTCATTTTAAAACTAATGTATAAGCCCTAGCTCATCGTGAAGAGCAGTAGTTGCAGTCTGGCTGTTATTTTTGTTTTATTTTTTCCCCTCTTCTCTGTATGATGTACTTCTCATTACAAGGAGCTTTCTGAATAAAAGATGAGTTTAGTCACACTGAGGAGAGTTGCTAGACATGCTGCTTAGCCATGTTGGATCAAAGGCATTATATGAACAAGCTGGAAAACTAGTGAGTGCTTCTGAAATGATGGTGCAATGAGAGCCTTTGTGGTTTTAACAGCTATTCTAGGTTTTCTTGATAGCTGAAGGTTCGATAAGATTTCTCCATATTGAGGAAAAAAATTGTTCCCTCCATTGAAAAGTGTTTTGGTGGGAGGTTAGCTAAAAATAGCACTTCTGTAACAGCCTCTTTCCTTCACTGTGCCGTATCTATTATGAATGTTGTGGAGATGATGGTTTAATGCAGTGACATTTCTGACTGGGTAGTCTTTGAACCCACTTCTGGATTTAGTTTAGAGAGAGGCCAGTGACCATTTACTTGTCTCCCTTTATGCCCCCTGACACCCCACCCCTCACCTTTCTTTTTCCTCCACGTAAGAGCATTTCTCTTCTATTGGGACTGCCCAAAGTTATTGCAAATAGTATCTATCGGGTGTCCTCAATCACTTGCTTGTCACTGGAAGCAGCTTTATTCTGGTCTACTTGGTGACCACAGTTGCTGGAAATTTCTTCCTACTGTATAACCCCTTGGTTCCTCTGGTGGTTTGTCATGATGTTCAACTGAGTAAATGAAATCTGTTGTTAAAATCCGGATGGAGTTTGCCAACTGCCACTAAGCCAAGCACGCCTCCATATTTGCTTCCCTTTGAATTTTCATTAGAAACCCACAACATCATTTGCAGTTCACAAGGAAATTTTACTCAGTTCCTCTGAAAATCCAAAGCAACGCCTGATCTGTGGCTTCGATTGCTCAGTGTCTGGGGTAGTACTCAACAGCACTGCCAAACATAGGAAAGAGGCGTTAAAGGGAGCAGGAAGGGTCCCTAAGCCACCAGTGGTGTAGCTGGCACCCCTGAGCTCCTGGAGTTGCCGCAGTCCCTAGTGACTGTGTAGGATTCATTTTTAAATTCACACAGATCAAAGGTATGTTAAAATGTAAATCATGGAAGTGTTGAATCTAAAATAATGACAGTCTGTGTCCTATATGGGAGTGAGAAATGCTGTGGAGAGGAATGGATTCTAAATATGGCTCACTTCTGCAGCTTATAGGTAATGGGACACGGCTTTCGGCTGAACAAGCACATGGAGATGACATTCCGTCAGCTCACCTTGAATCTGCAAGGGCTAGTTAGAAACTTTCCAGGCTTTTTTTTAGCACTTGAACTGGAACATCTAAGACAATTACTTGCAAACACCTGTGAACTGAGCATGAATTCCCCTTCTCCTTCGCAGGTGCTGAAAGCATCGTTGCAATCATGATTGGCAACATGAAAGGCATGGAGATCCTACACCGGATTGAGAGCGGCATGAAAGTGACTATGGTCATTGAAGTGGGGAAAAAGCACGGTCCTTGGATGAATCAATACTCCATCTTCTTCACCTCAGTGTCATTTTTCATTGTCACAGCAGCAACCATGGGCTACTTTATCTTTTACTCTGCTCGGAGACTCAGGATTGCCAGGGCCCAGTCCAGGAACCAGGTGAGCTTGTGTGTGCCATTGTTGAGTGTTTCTTTCATACCCCTGAGACTCCACGCTGTGGATCTTGAGGGCAAGATATTCACTGAACACCAAAATCATGGAATTTGTTCATTCCCCAGGAAGGAGTGTGACCTTTAAAATGCTAAGAGACAGATCTTGAAATAGCTTAGAAGTTTCCAAAGAGACCACAAAAAGTAAACTGTCTGAAGAAGGTAACTGATTGTGTTTAGCGAACTTTGTCTCCTACAACTGAATTGCAGTGCAGCCATAACGCTGATGTACTGGAGGCGGTGAGAGAGCTGAACTGCTTTTAGCTGACCCTCACACTTCCCACATAGCACTGCCTATGTGTTAGCTGCAAGGTGAGACACGACTGCAAATGTGTCTATAAAACAGTACATGGCTTTGGCTGCCTTACTGCAGACCGCAAGTTGGGAAGCTGCTGCTTTTCTGACTGAAAGCTTCCTGGGAATTGCACTGACAGCCTCAATTAGGAGTTGATAAAAAGCACTGTTAAATTGTGTTCTTTTTAAACCCCAGGCAGGGAGGTGCTAATGAGTTAAGTTTCCGAGTAACTCCCATCTGTGCAATAAACTGATGGGATTAATGCTTCCAGCTTTGTCTTCAATCTGATCAGACCTGCCTTACACCTGCCACTTCAGGGCTTAAGCAAAAGCCTTAAAAGTGAGAATAAAGTCTTGACATCTGTCAAAGGTGATGGGCAGCAGCAAGAACAGGAAATCAGTGGCTTAGATATGAGTACTTACTTCAGCTGTTCCCTTACAGCTGTGTTGCAAGGGAGACCATTAGTGCTTCTTGCAGGACCTGCCTGAACTCAGAAGTTCTTACAGAGTACTCTCCTACAGACAGCAATAGCACGAGCATCTCGCTCTAGCTGGGCTCAGAGTATGTGAACTATCTCTGGATCAGTGGTTACAGCGACAGACTTCTTTGCCATTGCAGAAGATCTGTCCTACTGTTCTACAGCTTCTCTGCTGTCTTGGAGGTTTCAGGCCCCTTGAGCAAGATCCTTCTGAAATAAGCTGGTGAAACTAGAAGCTGGATACAGGTGTTGAAAATCAACCCAGTTTCAGGCTTCTGTAACATTTTAGAACTGGCTTATTTGAAGGGTTAACATGCATAACTATTGTTGTTGGCAGGCAGATAGACTAGTGAAGGTGAATGACGGCAGTGTTCCTGGAGTTGAATGCTTGGTTCTTTAGTAATCACAGAACCTAACTCAGTGGAGTTTCTGTTCTGAAATCCTGTTGTCTAAGTGTAATCTCATGGTTTATGGTCAGTTGGCTGTATCTTTACTGAAACTAGAGATCTAACAGTGAGATGAACTGTATCTGTGCCTTGTCTAAGCTGCATCTGCCCCAACTTCTGGACTAGGCTTCCCCTAAGTGCTTTGTTTTAGCCTGATAGCATGTTCTAGTGTTACGCCACACGTGGAAATGGTGCGAGGCTACAATAAGGGACCAGATGGAAGTATTGGATGGTGAAATCTACCCATGGGAAGTAGTGCTGCCACTCCTGGATGCCATATGGAGTTGCCTCTAGTACCTTTCATGAGGGATGGCATGGAACTTTAACTTGATGCTGTCCTCTTGCCAACATTTGTGAACTGAGATGAATGATGGATTCCCTCTTTCATTCCCTGTCATCTACCCTAGTGTGGCAACTCTGTTTAATGCTAAACAGACCTGGGCAGGAAAAACTGGACACCCTAGAAGCTGGTCCGCAGAAGACACTACTTATCACATCACATGAAAACTTTTCTTCCTTTTGAAGGTATTTAACAGAGCAGTTGTGGAAGTCCAGCTCTATTCTGAGCTATCAGGCTTTCAGCAAGCTACAAATGTTATTAATGTGTCAGTGGCAGACTGTACTGGGAAAATCCAGTCTGCTTGGCTAGCACCTTTGCAAACCATTTCTATCTTGGGCTCTGTGTGCACAAGGAGTTTACTGTAGATTGAAAAATAACGTTGATAAATGGCATGCCAGTTCCACATGATTTCAGCTGAACTTAATTTAAGGAGCCTTATAAAGTGCTTTATAAAGTATAAGAATAGAAGAAAGCTTCTCTGCTATCGGGGGTAAAAATGTACTGTTTTGCAAAAGTGAAACTCAAGACAATCCAGGATTGTTTTTGATTGTTTTCATACCATGGCATATAAAAACTGACCTCACAATGATTAGATAAGCAAAGAATAACAAGAAGTTCTTGCTAGTGAAGGTGAACTTCCAAAAGGTGATGGTATCAGTGTTCCCTGTTGGCCAGGTGATTGGATCTTCAGTGCATATCCAAAGTTTGAGACTTCTAACTGCTTTGAAATACTGAATATTAGTCAAACAACTTATCAGTTTGTATACTATGTGACGGGCTTTCCCGTCATTGTTCAGCCCTTTGGAAACTCAGATTGCCTGGACTTCAGTCTGTTATGTGGGGTAAATGATTGTGTTTTGTCTGTTATTGCACAGATGTTGAAGGGGTATACATTTTTTTGGGGTGATGCTTCCAACCTTAACTAGTCTATGATTCTATGTCTTTAGGAAGCAGTCAAGAGTGTTGATAATTAGGTATTACACATTTTCCTTCTTTTTGAAGTGAACTGCTGTTCTGAATGCATCCCTTTACCCAGTGTTTCTGCTCTTCAAAGTATCTGCTTTTTGACCTTCCCTGTGGGATTACATCACTACTGTGTGAGGAGACTTTTAAGGTGTCAGTCTACCACTTGAACTGAAGCAAGCACTTTCAAATTGCTCTACAGAGTGCTGTGATGAGCTAATTGTTATATGTGATAATCATGCTCTGCAGCTTGTCCCTTGTATGTCCAGGTTCCTGGATATTTGGCTCATTCTTGTGGACCGAGGCACAGTCCTGGGGAGCTCTCACCCTGGACTGCAAAGCATAATGCAGCTTGAGTCCCACTTGCTCACTAAAGGGTAGAACAGGAAGAGTGGAGACCATTTTCTAGATGCTTTGTCTCTTCTGCAAAGGCTCTTCAAAACAAGAGCCTGGCTGGATACGTGATCCATTCAGGCATGGGACTTGAATTGGATGCCTTCCAGGTATTACCATGTTGGTAGTGTTTTTCCTTTTCTTTTGGTTTGAGAAGAATCTTCAGAAAGCACTAAAGTCTGAAGATTTTTTGGAGTGCTTTTCTCTTGTTTTATACAGCCAGGCTGCTGAGTACCTTTACAATTTGCCAATGCAGTTCCTATACTTCTTGGGATGACTACTTGCTTCTTCACCTTCTGGTGAAGGCACTTTTTCTGGATGGCTTGATCATGTATAACCTGGGTTTTAAACATGTTCTCTGCTGCAGGCTTTTCTTGAAGGCAGCAGTTGTCTCTCACTCAGTTTGAGCCGGTATTGCACACAAGTCAGTAACATAAACCTGTGCAAAGGGCTTCTTTAAGAACTTGAGTGACTATTGAGAAGAGCTTGTCATGTTGCCTTGCGGTCCAGGTGAAAATGTAACTTCAGCAGCACATCTGTCCTCACCGAGTTAAAATAGAGTAGCTTTTCCCTCATGAGCCAGTTAGCTAAACTGTTTACAACCTGCTAGCTCTTATCTGAATGCATATTTTCATCTGGGCTTGAAATTCAAGTCCCCACCTCTGTGATCTCTTACTGCATCATGAGGTCTGTGGGGAAGAAGGTGGAAAAACAAGGCAAGCATGGTAGGAGGCTTGCTAAATTTCTAGTTAGCAGAGTACTGGCAAAGTCAGTTCCCCAATATATTAACCTTTCTTAATAATGCAGAATGGCCAGTGATGTTATCTGTGGCCTGGTTTCTAACTTAAGCTCAAGTCTTCACTTCCATTGACTTCATAAAGATTAGATGTTACAGCTGAGAAATGACCTAATTAATGGCTTTGGAGGAGGCAAGTTGCTTAACTTCCCACAAGTCAAAGCTGCTTTTATGGCAGTAGTTACCTGTGGAGAACTTTGTTAGCTCACAGGAGAAGAGTAGTTGCTCCTGACGTCCTTAGGGCTTGTTGGTCTGCAGCACCAGGACTATGCTCACAGGATACCAGGAAGGCACCCTTAAAATCAGCAACTTTGGACTAGGGAACATTTTGGACTAGGCAACAGAAAACTCAATTTTCCCAGTTAGGCACCTCTCTACTTCCTTCAACATGCCAGGGCCTGGACTGGAGCCAGGACTTGGCCAGTTTTGTAGTATCTTCTATTCCTCTTCTTTTCCCTGCCTCAACTTAGCTATTTTTTCCTATAGTTGCTAGGTTGGTGCTTTTAGAAGTGTAACATTTCATGTTTTGCTTGAAAAACTTGGCTTTATAAATGCTTTGACATTCCAGGCTCAAGTATCCTGGATCTCCTGGTGGGCTATTCAATAGAAAGCTTCCTCTTGCAACCTTCCCCCCCCTCCCCCCCAAGGGGTGTTCTCCTGTACTTACCAAAATTGATGTTAAAGGTGACACTGCCATTGGTGCATTTCATGCAGAGCAATTAAACTTGTGCCCAGGCAAAACTTAAATATTGTTCCAGTAAATTATTAATGATACAGCCAGCTGGGTCCTGTCTAATATGCTTGGCCTGACATGAGATGTGTAGATTAGATACTGCATGAGGGAGTACATTCCTAGAAAGTTTAGTTTTCAATTGCTAATGAGTAGTGATGATAGACAGCTCTGGTAGTGTATGAGAAGTACTACTATTGCTGCACTCCTGCTCTGTTGATGTTACCACATTTGCTGCTGAAACTTTTGGGAACCTCAGTGTGTACTGATGGGTGTATGCTGCTTCTTTGTGGCTTCAGTCCAAGACACTGACAAGGTGAACATCATTCTAAAGTCAACCACAAGTGATGTACAGAACCATACATTGATGTCTTCAACAGAAGAACTGTGCAAGCTTCAAAGAAAACTCGACTAGTTCTTGTTCCTAAAAAAAAAAAAAGACAACCAACCCAAAAAACCCAAGCCTGAAAACCTTTGCATCCTTCACCTTTTCATTGTTTGTATCTCTTCCTTGATAGCTGCTAATAACTATCAACTATTAAACTCCTCAAAGCATGCACATTGATGCTATATCTCAGGACCCCAAAACAGCACTATATGCAGATAGATCATTTTGCACAAAAACTGTTTGGCGGGGTCCCACAGACCATATAAATCAACTTGCTTGCCATTAACTGCTTCAGCGCAGGTAATCTTACGCAGACTTGAATTACTAGTTCTCGCTGAGTTTGCTGGGTGTCAACAGCAGCCCTCCATGCACTTGTTCCTTCTGTGCTTGTGCCACCAGCACTGCACCTTCATTGGAAAGATTCTTGTAACTGGGCTGAACTGCATAAAGATAAGTAATGCTGGAACGCTAACAGTGTGGGGTTCCTGCACTGAGCGGCTGAATTGGGAAGAGGATTTTTGGTGAGCTGCAAAGCTTGTGTCTGGCCTGTCCCTAAGGGAAGTGCTGTGTTGGGATGGCAATGCCAGAGCTGCCCCATGTACCTCTGTGTCCTGAGGCAGTGCATCAGCGAGGGAGAAGACGCTTATATTCTTTGTGTTGGTGGAACATCACCAACCTGTGACCTTTAAACAGAGATGTTGGCTCCTGTGCTAATTAAATGTGTTTCAATGCAGCTAAACAGCAACAGTTGCCAGGCAAGCTGGGCTTTGCTGTCTGCTCATCTTTGCCCTGCTATCCCAACAGCAGTGAGCAAATAATCATGTGAAGGGGAATGCTTCCTTCTCTGCTTTCATTAAAGCTGTCCTGTAATCCCCCTGGGCTAATAATTTCATTTGTTTCATACCTTGTGTCACAGGGAGGGTGACAAGTGGCCTATTTCATTTTTTCCCTTTCCTTTGTGCATATTACTTTGAACCAATACCCAGTATTGAGATAAAACTGCGTTCTTCCACTTGACCAGAGTGGTTGGCATTAGGAGGCTCCTGATGTGTTTGCGTGCTCTGTCGTGGCAGACTAGTTCAGGGTGTGTTGGTGGTAGCTGAGCTGATTGGTGAAGAATCTCACCTTTCACTAGGATGTGAACTTGTAGCAGGATTGTGTTATAAAGTGAGTAGTTAAAACTACTGATTGTCAGACTCAACATTCAGTCTTCTGTACCACATCAATTTGAAGGCTTCTGTTTGGGCTAGGTCTAATGTTGTCAAGGTATCATCTTGTACCTTCTCAAAGAAACCCTTGACGTTCCCATGCTTTGTGAAAAGGTTAGGTGACAACAAAGCATATGCAAGTGCCCTGTTGGTGTGTCATCCAGAGTAAATAACCACATCAGTATGTTCCAAAGCTCTTTTGTGCTGTCTCTAAATGGTATGGTCATGCTTACTTGGCTGGTTTTGATACTCCTGGGCTATAAAACCTGTGCCTGCTTGCAGCAGACACCTTGGTAAGTATTAGCAACCACACTTCAGAGAAAAATTACTGTGTTTAACCAGGACCGCTTTCTTTTACAGCGACAACTAAAGGCCAAAGCCAAGAAGGCCATTGAACAGCTACAGCTGCGCACCCTGAAGCAAGGGGACAAGGTATGACTGATCCTGTGACCTCCTGAGCATTACAGCACACCCTTTGCCCAGAACCCGCAGAGCGGTCCTTAGCACTGGAGCAGGATGCAGAAGTCTCTCTGAGCCTGTAACTGTCCGTTTCAGAGATGGTTCCTCTTTCAGACCAGGTCCTTTGACAGGGTGTAAGACTTTCCAATTTGCACATTCTTGTAAATCAGATTACTTTTTTTTTAGCTGCTCATTTGTGGTCTTGCTGAGGCGAGAGGTCCTAATTTGCTGGCATGGATGCTTAAAGGTAAACTAATACAGCCAGTCAGCTTCCCTGGCTATTCTTTCTGTAATTAAAACTGGATGTAGAAGTTTATAAACCTCTACAGTAGTAGCTCAAATAATCCAGTGATGGTTTGCAGCTGGACTTCTAAACCATGGGATTAGATTTTCAGTGCTTCTGTTCAAGTGTCACCTTGACTATGAATAATCTACACAATGTGTTTATATAAGATTATATACAGGAGCTTTCTTAGGTTACCTTAGTCCCCTTTGCAGTAAATCTGTTGCTCAAAAGCCAGCTTTCAAAGTCTGTTAATGCTGGCAGGAGGGCCAGGAGACCTCCGTGGATGGATAAGTTGCTGCTGAGGAAACATAAAGGTGGAAGCGAGGACAGGCAGCCTGGGAAGAAAACAGGGATATTTTCTGGAAAGCTAGGGACCAGGTCAGGAAAGCTAAGGCCCAGTTAGAATTGAGTCTGGCAAGGGGTGTGAAAGATAATAGGAAGGACTTCTATAGGTATGTATCAAATAAAAGACTATGGACAATGTGGGCCCTCTCTGGAAGCTATCAGGAGAACTGGCTACACAGGATTTGGAGAAAGCTGAGGTTCTGAATGACTTCTTTGCCTCGGTCTTCACTGCAAATGCTCTGACCAAACCACCCAAGTCTTGGAAGGCAGACGCAGGGACTGTGAGAATGAAGACCTTGGGCCCACTGTAGGAGAGGATCTGGTTCGAGATCATCTTAAGAACCTGAACGTGCACAAGTCCATGGGTCCTGATGAAATCCATCTGCGGGTCCTGAAGGAGCTGGCAAATGAAGTTGCTAAGCCGCTGGCCATCATATTTGAGAAATCATGGCAGTCAGGTGAAGTTCCCAACGACTGGAAAAAGGGAAATGTAACCCCCATTTTCAAGAAGGGGAAAATGGATGACCCAGGGAATTACAGACCAGTCAGTCTCACCTCTGTGCCTGGCAAAATCTTGGAGCAGATTCTCCTGGAAGGCATGCTAAGGCACATGAAAATCAACAAGGTGCTTGGTGACAGCCAGCATGGCTTCACTAAGGGGAAATCCTGCCTGACCAATTTGGTGGCCTTCTATGATGGGGCCACAGAACTGATGGACAGGGGTGGAGCAGTTGATGTCATCTACCTGGACTCGAGCAAAGCGTTCGACACTGTCCCATACGACATCCTTGTCTCTAAATTGGAGAGACATCAATTTGATGGATGGACCACTCGCTGGATAAAGAACTGTCTGGATGCCCGCATGCAGAGAATTATGGTCAATGGCTCAGTGTCCAGTTGGAGACCAGTAACGAGTGGTGTCCCTCAGGGATCAGTGCTGGGGACCACTCTTGTTCAACACCTTTGTTGCTGACATGGACAGTGGGATTGAGTGTGCCCTCAGCAAGTTTGCTCATGACACCAAGCTGTGTGGTTCGGTTGATACCCTGGACGGAAGGAATGCCATCCAGAGGGACCTTGACACACTTGTGAGGTGGGCTGATGCCAACCTCATGAAGTTCAACCATGCCAAGTGCAAGGTCCTACACCTGGGTCAGAGCAATCCCAGGCACAGCTACAGGTTGGGCAGAGAAGAGATTCAGAGCAGCCCTGCGGAGAAGGACTTGGGGGTGTTGGTCGATGAGAAACTGAACATGAGCTGGCTTCACTGTGCGCTTGCAGCCCAGAAAGCCAACCGTATCCTGGGCTGCATCAAAAGGAGCGTGACACCAGCAGGTGGAAGGAGGTGATCCTGCCCCTCTACTCTGCTCTTCTGAGACTTCACTTGGAGTGTTGTGTGCAGTTCTGGTGTCCTCAACATAAAAAGGACATGGAACTGTTGGAACAAGTCCAGAGGAGGCCACAAGGATGATCAGGGGACTGGAGCACCTCCTGTATGAAGACAGGCTGAGAAAGTTGGGGCTTTTCAGCCTGGAGAAGAGAAGGCTGCGTGGAGACCTCATAGCAGCCTTCCAGTATCTGAAGGGGGCCTACAAGGATGCTGGGGAGGGACTCTTCATTAGGGACTGTAGTGATAGGGCAAGGGGTAATGGGTTCAAACTGAAACAGGGGAAGTTCAGATTGGATATAAGGAAGAAGTTCTTTACTGAGAGAGTGGTGAGGCACTGGAATGGGTTGCCCAAGGAAGTTATGAGTGCTCCATTACTGGCGGTGTTCAAGGCCAGGCTGGACAGAGCCTTGGATGGCATGGTTTAGTGTGAGGTGTCCCTGCCCATGGCAGGGGGGGTGGAACTAGGTGATCTTAACGTCCTTTCCAACCCTAACTGTTCCATGATTCATTTCTCTTCACCATTTTAGGAAACCGGTCCTGATGGAGATAGCTGTGTGGTGTGCATTGAGCTGTACAAGCCGAATGAAGTAGTGCGTATTCTGACTTGCAAGTAAGCTCTTTTCCAAACTGCCCCTTAATCCAAAATTGGGAAGCATGTTTTTCCTTCTGCTATATTAACAAAGCTGATCAAACTTTAACTGAGCTGTTGCATGACAAGAATTATTGAATCTGACAGTGTTTTGAACAGCTGGAACTGTGTAAATTCACACTTTGGAGTGTGCCCTAATGGCCTGTGTTCATAACTTTCCCTATGAGTAGATTGACAAGTGAAACTTGCCAGACCACATCCCTCTCCAAGGGATGGCAGGGCTTTTTATAGATTTCTTCCTTTACTGGTGTATAAGAATATTACCTATAAATTGCAGATAACTGGCAAAACTGTCTGTTCCTTTTCACTTGGCTTACTGGTTGCGAAAAGGGTCAAGCTCCCACTAAACTTGTTAAACCATGCCAAGTTTTGTATTTCAGAAGAAAGCATTTCTATTCTTGTATGCATCATCTGAAATAGAGACCAAAATAGAGCTACAGCAGTTTATTTTTCTAGAACTCTAAACTATTTTATCTCACTGCTGTGCTTCTGTGGAAGGCTGCTATTGTAACACTAAGACTTCAATTTGATTGCTCCTAAGATGAGCAGTGATGTTTTCTCAGGGCTTAAGGAAACTTGTTCTGTGGGATTTCCCACTGTGCCTGCTGATTGGGACTGCTCTGACAAAGCTTCTGAAATCAGCTGCAATTTGAACTGCACATATTTTGTGTAGGAAGAGGCTTTGTACCCCTTGGGAAAGGTTATAATAACGCACTTGGAAAAAATCTGACATGGGGGAAAAATCAAGTTCTGAAGAACAGAAAAAACTGTAGCTGCTGTTGTGTGTTGAGCAGTGTTATTTGTCAGACTGTAAAATCTGGGGAGGGGTTACCTTTGTACCAGGTTACCGTTTTGCAAAAGCCTTCTCTGCTCCCAGGCAGTAGGACTTCTAAGCTGTTTTGGTAACACCAGCTTGGCCTGCTAAATTGTTATGAACAAACTTCCTTGATCTAATGGCTTGTAGTTTAGAAAACACCCAAACTGAATAAGCTTTCAAGCATGTGTTAATGATTATTCAGTTGTATTCTCTGATTTATTCTCCTGGGTAGTCCTGTTAACAATGAAGTCAGTCCCATAAGTGCAGAAGCATTTAGACGGGCTCTAGATACCTTTGGCTGATAGAAGACCTGACTTCTCTATAAACTGACAATCTTCCTATGAACCTGCAAACAAAGCATGACTTATTAGGTTAAGAGGAGAGTAACTTCTTTTGAATGTGTTCTTTATGCTTTGCCCTGAGACTGTCTTTACATACATTTGTGATGTTTCATTCCTCTTTGGCCCAAATGTAGCTCTTAAGAGGGTTAAGATCACTGCATTTATTTGATAACCTTCAGCAGTGGTGACCTCTGCAGGATCAACCATATTAGATTCTCTCACATGAGTTAAACTGATATTGACCTCTACACTGAGACCCTATTTGTTGAAAGCATTTAGCTCTATCCATGAAAGAAACAAGCAGTCAACTGCTCCTGTGAGTCACATCGGTGCTATCTAAGTAGCTGGGGTGTGTGTATTTGTGGAAGGCATTCTTGTCCAGATAGTCAGACTGAGGCATTTATAGTAGCAGAGGTACACCAGACCAATATCAATTCCAAGTACTCAAAATAGTCACGCATCAAGGAAGTTTCAGATTGTACTCTAGACATTACATTGGTGCAGCTGGAAGGAGGTGATGGCTGTGTGAGCTGGATTGGAGAATGCTGGTATCAGTCTGGGGCGTAGGATACTGCGCGCTGGATGTGGTGATTTCTGCACTTCTCGTAATAGAGTTCTGGTTAATACTGAGCAGTGCCTGTCTGTCTTGCTACTTCTATTCAGGCTGAGGGAACAAGCAGATTACAGGATTTCAAGTCATCCTCCGAAGTCTGTGGCTTAATTTAGACCCATTGTGGAACTGTCTTCACAAAAACGCACATTTGCATCTGTAATGGCTGAACTATATTTACTTCCTTGAGTACAGCCTGCTAAATATCCACTTAGAATATACAGTGACTGCATAGACAAAGTAAATGTGTGGGAGTACAGTTTATTTGATGGCATAACTCTGTGAGATGATTTTGTTCTATATAGTTTTATACAAATGAGTGCTATTTCATCATCTGCATGACGGAATTCAACCTTAAAGCTAGCACTGAGATGTCACTATTAGTATTAGTTAAATTATCAGCTGGGAATGTACTGTACACAGATTAAAACAAAAAAATAAGAAAAATAAAAGTTTAAGGCTGATGTAGCGAAGACAATAAACTGAATTCCAGCAAATTTAGCAAGTTGAGAGATAAAAATAATGTAATCCATTCTCAGATGGATAATAGAATAAATAAATTCTTGGTGTTTCTAAATGGGCCTTCATAGCTGCCACGTAAGTAGTTTTCCTGGTGTGAAACCTAACTCGTGCTTGTCTTATTCCACCAGCCATCTTTTCCACAAGAACTGTATTGACCCCTGGCTTCTGGAACACAGGACATGCCCGATGTGCAAGTGTGACATACTCAAAGTTTTGGGTGTTGAGGTAAGCCAGTAGTCTGTCTTAGTGGCAGATGCTGTTACTAAACTGGAGTAATAACAGCATATGAGCTATTTCATGGTGCCTCTAGAGCACAGGTAGTAAGCACAGGCATTGCCATGTCAGTGTAGAGATGCTATAAGAATAACTGCTGTGAAGCTTGCAGCTGACTTGGTCTGAGGCGGTATCATCTAAAGCCTTTGGCAGCATATCAACCAAAATTGATTATAACGCATGACTGAAGAATTGCTCTTAACTCTTGTGCTCGCAGCTAAGGGTGTTTCTCAAAGCTTCAGGCAGACTTGACAACTCAGTCCCTGTAACCAGCCCTTATAAAGTTACTAAGTACCTGGAGTCCTTGAAAAGTGAATGTGTTGGCATGTATGGCATTCCTGCAGCCACATGATTTCCTAGGATACACAAGGAATTTCTGATGTGTTCTGCAAATGCTAGTTGTGGTAGATGCCAGGGGAAGATGTTGCCAATGCCTGGCACTGCCTGGACCAGCTAAATGTATGCCAGGGTTTGCCTGGGGAAGGGAGATCTGCACTGAGGGGAAGGAAGAATCTATTTTCCTGGAACTGGCTGAAGAATTCAGAAGTTTCATTTGAACTTCCCACTCAAATAGGCAGTAACTGTTTTTCACCTATGATGCTGGAGGTTAACAGCAGAGCTTTCTTCCATTTTAGTATTTTTTTCCCCTGGGTGTAAGTTCACTAGGCTCCAGCCCTTACAGGTGTTGGTCTCCTGGAAAGATGCAGCCTAAATGTTTTCTCCTTTATTCCACACAGGAGACTGTAGAAGTTGAGTCTGTGCAAGTCACAGTATCCAGTGAGGGATCAAATGTGTCTTCAGCTAATGAAGAGGATAATCGTAGTGAAACAGCATCATCTGGATATGCTTCTGTACAAGGAGCAGATGGATCTGTTCTGGAGGAACATGCACCATCAGAAAGTGCGTCTACAGTTTCATCTCTCTTGATAGATTGCATTCTACTTTGTTGCTTATGCTGTGATTTAGGGGTATTTACCTTAACAGCTTGCAGTCCTTGAATACCTTGTTTTTCAGTGTAATAATAATCTTGTCTTTTGTTTTAGCATTTGGCTCTTTGTTTTAACACCACCTAAATGTGAATTGAAACCTAAGTCTTTGAAAAGAGTAGTTGAAAATCAGAGGCTTACTACTTAAAAGCCAAAGAGATTTTTCTGAAGCTGTCCTTCATCTTATTGTCTCTTTGGAGATTTCATTGGTATGAGTGAGTGTTGCTTTGTCACCAGATCTGTCCACTTTAGTTAATTACATACAGAAAACCTCTGGGGAGTCAGTTCTGCTCTTGCAGATGATGCAAAATAAAGATGAAAAATACTTCAACTGGATTTCAGATTTTGCCAAGGCTTAAACATCCTTGAATATTTTTAGAGAATATTAATTGGAAAAGACTATCAGCTTTTCCACCTACCTTATCTCTTTTTAATAAGAGCAAACCAACTGAAAATCTTTTGAGTGTTTAACTTTGCCAACACACGCTCAGTGTTGCTGTTGATTTTTAAAAATGGAAATTCTCCAGGTAAACAAATGTAAGTAACTATATCCTGGATTGTGGAATGGCCTTGGGAAGCAGAGTAAGGAATCTTTACAAGATGAAGGGGATGCTCTGAATGTGTCTACTTAGATTTCCTGTGGGAAGGCTAGCTGATAGGAAAGCATGGGATTTGCTGTGTGCCTCTTTTGGGACATGTTGCTCCAGCAAGTGATGTGTATGGGAATGTCCCATTTAGGTACCCTGGTAGAGCAGAAGGTATTTCTTATAAGCTAAACATCAGAAGTTGAAATTGTATCCATATAAGCGACTTGAAGCGATGCTGGTTTAGTTATATGGTTCAGGCCCTTGTGTATTCTCATGAGGCAAGGACACACATGTAACATCAGCCTAACAGGTTTAGTCTGTAGGAAGAAGGCCTTCCTCTCTGAATCAGCCTGTGTTCCACAGCTTATCCTGAAACTTGTCTCCAGAAGTTGCTCCTGATGCCTGTCTTCAGCAGCCCTAATGTTGTATGAGAATTGCCTATCTCCTTATAGATGGATTTCATAGCCTCATGTGGCCTTCTGCCACTTGAGCACACAACCTAGGCTTGCTCAGCATTACTGAGAAGTGAAGAGCAGAGCAGATACCTCTAGAAATGACTAGTAATGTCAAGAATGGACTCACAAAGTAATGTGGGGTAGCAGAAGAGCAGTTGTTGGAGCATGGCCTCGGATCTCCCACTCTGCAGGAAAAGTGCAGGGGAAAGACCACTGCAGTGGGCTTGTGGAAATAAAGCAAGCATGGTGTGCTTTAAGGTAGTAAAGCTTGCCTGTATTACTTCTTAACTTGTCTTTTCTTGGTTTTATTCTGGACAGATGACAACATGCATCTTGTGAACAATGAATCCCAGCCCCCTGCTGTGAATGCCCTTCCACATGCTGACAACCCAAGCTTTGAGGCAGACGAAATACAAGTTCGTGAAGTCAGGTCCTAAGAACATTCCCAGTGACCTCGTGTAAACTTCTGCAAGGAGCTGCTGATTGCCGTTGCATGTGTATGAAACATTGCAAGGCTGTTGCAGGAAAAATATTGCCTTGGCAATGCTGAGATAAAATGGACTTGTTCAAATCATAATTGTATGGTTTGCTGTTCTTAAAACTGTGTCTCCCATGTGGAATTTAGTTTTAGCACTCTTCACATAAAGCCATCTTAAATATAAAGAAAACCATCAGATTTTAACACTAAACCAAAAGTTCTATCTTCAGCAAAGCTTCTCTTCAGTGTTTGAGTCATTTAAATACGGAAAAACATTCTTTGTCATAGCTGTTTCTCCTGGGAGTTGTTTTGACTTGGGTTTTTTTTTGTTGTTTATTGTCTTAATTCAAGTGGATTTTCATTGTAAACAAATTAATTTTGATCTGGTCTAATACTTACTTACCAGACAGGGTTCAGTTAAAACAACACTATTTAATATCTCAGTGCACTAATTTGATAGGAGAAAGTACAAACTATGCCTGTCAAATGGGATTTTTCCCACAGTGTCTTTGGTTCTCTAGTAAGCCGATTGATTCTCTACCTCTAAACTCCAGCCTGCCAACCACACATTCCTAAAGGGAAAAAAGAGAGCTGCAAGCTGACAGGCCAAATCTGACTTGCACGATACTGTAAATGGAACAATTGCATGAGTTTTTCAAACCTGTTTATATTAGCCTGAAAGCTCTTCCCTGGCTTTTGGAGTTAGAGCCATCTCTAGCACCAGCAGTACGCCAGAGTCTGGGATGACTTCAGAAAGACTGAACTGAAGATGAAAAGATAGATACTTCCCAAAGGATCTGTTGTGTTTTGTTCAGAAAGTGATCCAGCCTCTGAAAAATGCTGGAGTGTTGCTCTGCATTGTCTTGCCTGTGTGCTAAAGCTGCAGGGAGAGCTGACGTCCTGTAAACATACTGGAGAAGTGGTCTGTCATCCGTGGGGAGTTGAACTGGGGTCAAGGAGGAACACTGGGTGCCTCAATAGTAAGTGCAGGGCCTTGCTCAGCAAAGATAACTAAGGACATCTTGTGGATGCACTTTATTTTTTTATCTTTGTATCTATAGCTTATTTCTAATGTTAGCAGAACTTTGTCTTAAAGCCTGAAATGAAGTACTATTGAATCTGGAGGGAAAAAGCAATGCATTTTCTTAGCTGTAGTACAATTAAAATTGTTGTAAATATTTCATGATTTGTATTGAATTTGAATATGAAAATGTAAATAAAACTATATTTTGATGACCCTAACTGCCACTAAATGTTGATTATCAGCTCTTAACTGGCAATAGATGTTGAATTTGCTGTCTCACAACCCTAAAATTGAATGAGTCTTGGGTGGCCAAAAGGCAGCAGTGCTTGCTTGAACTAATTGGAATAAGGAGAGCTAATTATGGGCAGGGTGCTACTGTTAACATGGATTGAAATGGTACTGACAAGCTTAAGCCTAGTAGCTGTACTCAAAACCCAAGCAGCTCAGGGTGTATGCAGTGAGCTAGTGAGCTGCTTGTACCTCTGGACAGTTCTTCACAGCATGTTCAGCACAAGGTAGCCTTACATGAACTCTGCAGATCAGGCAGGTTGCAGCTCACTTCTCTGTCAGGTTGCTCAGTGTCCCTCCCTTACTCAAAGGTTTATGCTTGTGTTGTAAGGCAATATGTTTTAAAAACAATTAAATGCCCTTTGTACTGAAATATACTATTAGATGTAGCAAAAACTTGTGACTCCCCTTGGCCAGTTTTGTAGTAGTTATCGGGTGCTTCTTCTTAGCTGAATTCCATGCCTAGTCTAGGAAACATTGGTGGTTGCGGGCTCAAATTCTAAAGCTGAGTATAAATCAGACCACTCGAAACTGTATTTTTGCTGTGATCATCCTTCTGTGTGCATCTGAAGTGCAGAGAAGAGAAAGGAACCAGCCAAGCAGTAAACAGGCAGCACCTGAACACTTAATTTCATTCACATTTCAAAATATTTTATAAACTTACTGCAGTGTGTAAGCTGTAATGTACTAGAATTTCATGCTGTTACACTGAAAATAAAATCATCTGCCAGTCTTCTGTTTAATAGCAACAAGATTTGACTTTCAGAAAAAGGGAGGGCACACATGTGTGTGATTCAGATCAATTCAATACTTTGAAAGGCATTTTGGCTTTTTGTTTTGTTCCAATCTATGCATTTAGGTTGCTTTGTTTATAGGATTCATGCATTTCTACTTACTGTCTTTTAAGAGCAATAAATCTGCCTTTTTTCCAGTACTCATATTTCAAAGGGTAAGGTGGATACCCAGAATTTTCTCAAGGAATGCAGTAGTGGAGTACTGGGGAATGCGGCAGTTCATGTCAGTACTCATAGTGCTACAGGATTAGATGTGTACGTGTTCTGTCAAGACGTGGACTTTCTTGGAGTCCAATGTGCTTACACTGATCTTCAGGAAGATTTTAGGATTCTTGTATCAGATGTGAAGTACTGTTAAGGGAATAAATGCAACATTTGTACCTGAACAGCTTTTGAGCTACTGCTAGGCTGATAACGCTTCTCTGCTTTTGCAGCTTAATGTGTGAGTCTGCCATGTTCTTGTGTGTGCGGATTTATTTGTAAATATTGGCTCTGCAAGGGTTTTGTTTAAAAATGAAAGTGTGCAAATTTCATGCATGCAGTCTGTGATACTGAACTTGGGACTTGCTGTCTGACTTTGGGGAAAAACAGCCACTGTCCACTGAACTCTGCTGAGGGTTTCACCTTTTGAGAACGTTGTGACAGTTTTACCTACTTTAAAGAAATTTCAAAGCTCCAATCGCACTTTGTATTTCCAAGTTTCCATGGATAGCAGCTGTCTGCAGCTGACCCTGCTTAGAGCATTATGGCATGATAGACTTTTTCCTCTAAGCAAGAAGCAATCAGAAATGTGCCTGGAGATCAGGTTGTTCCATGCAAACTTGCTGTTACTGTGCAATCGTTGGAGTTTGCTATATATACACTGTAAGACACTGGAAATTAGGTGCCCACGAGTGACAACAGTTTCTCAAATGTGTGCCTTTTGGCTCTGTTAATACCACTGAGTCACACAGATGTGTCAGTTATTCTGCCCTAAAGAGAAAGCAGAACAGGCTCCATCATCATCTCCAAGTGTTTACTCACTGCTGTCATTTCTCTCTCCCCCAGGAAAGCTCTAATCTAGACACTTCACTCAAATGCTTGCATGTTCTCCAAGGGGGGACTAGGAAAGCTTTGTTTTATCCCTGCAGCAGGGGAAGCCTTGTCACCTGGTGCTGGATTGCTGTGCTTTCTTGTTAGGCTTTACAGCAGCAGGATTTTATTTTAAATCCCAAACCATAATAATACCATTTTCTCATATTGGAAAAATATGAGAAAAATTTTCGAGTGTCCCTATAGAAATGTAGTTACAGCTGAGATTTTTGCTCAAGGGAAAAGCAGGACTTGTTATGAGAGGCTGCAAACATATAAATGCAGTTGGAGTCAAACAGGCAGATGGACTCTTCCCATAAAATAGAGAGACCTAGTCTGTCTCCATCTTTAGATGGAAAGCTCTGCACTTGTCAAATGACCTAACAGTTGGACAGAATAAATATACGCATCTACCTTGGCTGTGTGATTTAACGTAGTATCATTCTGTGTTTAACAGACACCAGCTCAGAAGGTAGCTCTGCCTTTTCAGCCACGTTTAGACTGATGTTTTTCCTGTGCAGATTTGGATAGAGTTCCACTCCCACAGGGCTGTAGTGGCTGGTGTTTTGGAATAGATGAAAGAAAATCTCCCGGCTTTGGCAATTTAATTTTGACTCTAAGGGAAACTTGAAACCAAACTGCAGTGTTCACCTACTGTGAATTAACAGCTATGTAATTCTCTGCACTGGTTTTCAACTGTTGGTTGTGTAGACTGAAGCCAAAATTTACTTATCTAGCTATTTATTTATATAATCTTGGCTATGGTTACTTGCGGGATGTAATTTACCGTTTCTAGGAGGTCTTTATTAATACAGTGACAGAAAAATTCCACAGCACTAAATGGATGCTGTAGAATGCATTGATTAGACTGTAGGATGATTGTGCACTGATTAAGAAAGAGTTTAAGTGCCTACAAATAAATTCCTCCAAGCTGATAGCAGGGCACTCTTTGCATTTTAGTAGTATTTGGTTAAAAATGCAGGGCCTGAGGGAATTGGGAAAAAGACGTTCAAGACCTTGAACCAAGGGAGAAGAAAACAAATGAGGCATTTTCCAAGCAGTATCGTTTTACTGTTAAATTTTTATCCAGTTACAGAAGTTTAAATCTTTACATATGAAAGCAACACGTGTCCTAACATGTCCAGCATGTGTGAGATGCCAAAAGCAAAGCTCTGGGTTGGAAACGCTAAGGGCATCTCTCCTTACAATTAGCATCAGAATTAGAAGACCTGTGTTAGATCCTTAATAGATATTTCCTATATCCAAGGGCATGACTAATTGGGAAAAATTAAATGGTAAACTCTCTCTCTGGGAACACTCTTGTAAAGGCAGCATCCATGCAAGAATTGCCCTCAGTTCAGCTGGTAAATCTCCATGAACCTGCTGAGGTCTGTTACTCTGAGTCACTTTAGGTGGAAGGAATGAAAACACTGCCTCATAAAGAACAATGCACTACTGTATCTGTTCGTTGTTTGCCTTGTCTCATTAATGTTTTATCTGTGTTAGCTACTGCATGCTGGCTAACGCAGGAACTTGTAATCCATTTGCATTCATTTTCCCTTTCTAGTAAAGTCAGATTGCAAATAATCTTGAATAGCTCATCACTGAGGACAAATGCCAAAGATCTTGCACACAAATTATGAAAACAGTGGGACCATCAGCCAAGCTGCTGTTAAGAGTAACCGGAGTGTCTAACTCTGCTCCAAATTAGCACTGGATCGTGTTGGGTGATGGAAGCAATGAAGCAGATCACATTTTTATGATGTGAAATGTAAATAGGTAACGCTGACCCTGCATCTGCTTCTGAAGCTGGTGAGACCGCTCTTCTGCTCCTGGTGTGGCCTGTGTGTGGTAAGGGGACAGGTGCTGGGCCCAGTGAGGTGGAGGTGCTGGTCATGGTTTCCTTCCTTGCGTGGCAGGTC